TTTTCAGAACTATCTACGTGGTGTACCGCAAGCATTAATTATATATTATACTTCGCCATGCAAACCTTCAAACAATATATTATTATTATTATTATTATTATTATTATTATTATTATTATTATTATTATTATTTTATATTAATGTAAACAATGCACAATAGGCAGTAGGAATATAAAATGGATATTATTTTGAAGCAAGTAAACCCAGTATTCCACATCATTATTTTTTTTTTAAGAAGAGGTATAATAGTATGGAAACATAGTAGACGGTGATCGAATGATTTGATGTTGAAAATGTTACAATTAGACCTATTAATTGAGGGCTGCTAAAATTAAAGGGTAATTGTATTTAATATTCCGGATAATTCGTTGTACATTGTATTTTATTGGTAGCCACATTTAATTTCTAATTTTTCTAATTATATTCAACTAGTTTGATTATTATCATCCTGCTTCACTTTGCTGTTACTTAGAAGCTCGTTAGACAATTGACCATTGTAAGCCGGGCCATCATATCTCTGTGCAACTGCTTAAACATATTCAATTAAAATGTTGATAATTTTCTTTACGGTAATGAAAGAGGTTAATGTTAATGTTTGCGGTAAAGGTTTACCTTACATTATAGAGGTGTGAATTAGTAAATACACATGGATACAATTGATTTACACTAGTATCCTACATTATTATTATTATTATTATTATTATTATTATTATTATTATTATTATTATTATTATTATTATTATTATTATTATTATTATTATTATTATTATTATTATTATTATTATTTTTATTTTTATTATTGTTTATATTATTAATATATATATATATGTAATATATATGTAAATAATGATATATTATTTAAATATATATTATATTATATATTATATTATTATTATTGTTAAATCGTCTCTTATATATATATATATGTAAATAATATATTATTTAAATATATATATTATTATTTATTATATATTATTATTATTATTATTATTATTATTATTATTATTAGTATTATTATTAAATCTACTTTTTTTTAAAACTTGATTTGTTATATCTTGGATTTCACATATTCCTCCTCTTCTTTATCCCTGTCCAGTAATTTTCTTCTTTTGGGTCTGATCACTCCCAATTTTATTATTTTTATTGTTGATTTAAATACTGTACTGCCATTGTCTATTTTATTAATGTTTTTATTTTATTTACGTTTTAATTGTCATACACTGCTTTTGCCGTCATTGTAATAATAATAATAATAATAATAATAATCAAATATAATAATAATAATAATATTAATAATATAAAATAATAATAATAATAATAATAATAATAAAAATAAAAAAATATAATAATAACAATATTAATAATATAATAATAATAATAATAATAATAATAATAATAATAATAATAATAATAATAATAATATAACAATTATAATATTGCAATTGGTGAGCGCGACGACCCCCGTTAAAAACTAATTGATTGCAACAGTACGGTACATTATATGCTTATCATCACAACCCTATGAATATTAATAGGCATTAAGCAAACTACCAAGGAGAATATTCTGATGCGATGTCATATATTTTTCTGTCAATAGTGGAGAAAACGTCTAATTTCACCACTGATATTTATGACAATTAAAATATTTTTCTTAGAAAATTCTCGTTTTATTCTGCTTTCATTTATTTGTATATATTTTGTTTAAATGATAATTAATTAGTATTTTAGTTCCCAGATTTGCAAATTTTTTCAACCTTATATCACATACCTTTGGAAGATATTTGAAGATCACATGGTTGATGGTGACTTTACCGTACTTTGTCCAAACATATTGCAATTTACTACCAAGCTTTGTACTTTCTTTCGTCACGAATAACATCCGTAACGATTCCGTAAATGACGATAAATCATGTCTAAAGAAAACAAATATCAAATTATTTAAAGCTATGTTCAAACTGCCAAATTTTCTTTTGACAAATATAATGGCCGTATATTCGACTGGTCATTCTTCGTTAAACCACGCCCACCTGCTCAGTGTGGTAAAATCCTACTCAACAAAGACGACCAGTCGAATAGAAAACTAGTAAATACTCGACAAAACAAAACGGCTGCATAGTTACCGCACACACTGCGTAATCCGGACACACTGCGTTAATTTTCGTTGTCAATGAAGTCTATTTTACGAACCAGTAGAATGAAAATAATACTCAACGAAAATTCGTACTCAACAAAACGAACCAGTCGAATAAGCCCATTGACTACAGGTTTCTAATCATTTGTACAAAAAAAAAATAAAATAAAAATAAAAAAAGAAAGAAAATGTCTGAAATTATAGTAAACTATCAAATTATATGTGCCAAAAAAGTAATATACCCATATTTGGGCACATCACACATTTCTCACATAAAATTTGATAGTGTGGACGGAACTTTAGTCAATATATTTGTCAAAAGAATGTGTGCGCATAGTTTTACTAAAATTTCAGAGATTTTTTTGCACTAATGATTAGAAGCTTTTTAATTGTTACAACATCATTTTAAATTTTAAAGATATATACTTTTTGTATAATGGCCTATAATGATAATCTGAATTTTAATCGATTGTTTTTTTTTTCTTTTATTGTGCAGCTGTTTTTGTTTTATTTTCTTCTCTGAATTTGTTGTGTATTATCCAATATGTTAAACGATTGCATTAAAGTGAATTATGAATTCTGGATTATGAATGAAATTATAACATTTATATAGCCTATACAATATCGATTCTTTCTCGTTACGGTCCATTAATTCGTAGTAGACTGGCCGCGTAGTCAAAACGGAAAAATGCCTAATGACTCACGCAATTGTGCTACATTAAAATTGAATTATTGGTAAAGCATCCAAAATGGAATATCAATTTTCTTTAAATATTACATTATTTATTTTAGGCTATACGGTATATTACGCTTACCCTAGACCTATTTTACAGATTTTTATAACATAAAAACATTGCATGTGTTGTGCATCATGTTAGAGAATTGTAAATAATATACTTGCCTAAATTGTAATATATATGATATATTATTTTTCCAAGGTGTCTTTAGCAAATTCAATAATTCTCCAAAATTAAATCGCGTTTCGTTGCCGAAGTCAATTACGTACATATTGGTCGCATTTACATTAGGTATAGAAATGTCAGTAACGCCGATGGAACTACTATTTATTCCATACGTTTGTGGATGTTGGAAATTTTGGTCAGGCACAGCCCGTGCTGGAAGCACACTGTATTCATCGTTCCTATAACAATAAAAACACACAAATCTATATAAGCAGCATGTTGAATCTTTCGTTGATTGGTGCCTTAATAACCACTTGATGCTAAACATTGGCAAAACAAAAGAGATTATTATTGATCATAAGAAGTCTGTAACACAACATGATTCTTTGTTAATTAATAATAAACAAGTAGAGGTTGTATTTCAGTACAGATATCTGGGGAAACTTGTGGATAACAAACTTAATTGGAACTTCAATACTGATAAATTATATGCAAAATGCAATTATACGTCTGTATTTTTTAAGGAAGATGAAAAGCTTCAATTTATGTAGGAAGATTATTGAATTGTTTTACGTATCTGTTATCCAGTACTTGGTTTCTGCTGTATTGTATGAAGTAACAGTATAACCAAGGCCAACCATTGCAGGCTAGATAGAGTTGTTAGAGCAGCTGGTAAAGTAGGAAAGAACATGGTGGAACTCGAGGCTTTTACTCTGACCTTCTGTATAAGAAACTAAACTTAATCATAGCTGATAAAACACACCCTTTGCATGGGAAAACAATGATTAATAAATCCGGATGAATTAGAATGCCGAATATTAAAACCGGAAGATTTATGAACTCTTTTCTGCTGTCAGCAATTATAGAATTTAATAAGAGGACACTAAGATAATGTATATTGTTAGTAGAATTCATGTAGTTAGAATTGTGTTTTTATGTTACCGTATATGCTTTTTAGTATATTTATATTTATTTTTATACTGGAGTAGAGTTGCAATAAGGAAGGAAAATTTCATAATTGTACCTTGTATTTTTGTGATAATAAAAGATCTGTATCTGTATCTGTATGTCAGGCTGAGGTTATTGGCACCATCGCAATGCAAAAAAAAAAGAGCTGCTGTTTTATATCGGCAGTGCCTCAGTGCCAAAAAAAGTTGCTGTTTTCTACAGTGCGTAAAAGGCTGTTATTTCCTATCTGGCAGTGCCGCATTCCCAATAATAATAAAAAAAAAAAGGCAAAAGAAGACAAAACAAAACAAAACAAATTTTAATTTTCAATCCGTGGATACGAAGACGTTCAAACACCATCTCCAATCGTGCAATGTGTTGCTCAAAAGTATTCGAAGAGGAGAAAGTTTGATTGCCAAAACATGACATTAATAATCGTTGAAAAGTTGCTGGTGCGTTTTGCAAACCAAACGGCATACTATTAAACTGAAATACTAACATTGGTGTTGTAAATGCGGTCTTCATCATTCTTGTCGTCATCCGCTACATCGACTTGCCAATAACCAATAACCCAAGCTTTTTTTGTGTATACGTGGACACCTCAGGATATGTCAGATCTTCACAGACCAATGTCTAAGTATTAGGCCTACTCATTGTCGCTATTCTAACATTAAGGTACAAGATGCACATTTCTTTATTGTCCAAACGAATGGAAATAACACAAGCTTATGACTGCCAGTACAATATATTTTTTAATTACCTTACATACTTTATATTATAATCTCGTATCCACGCTGGGTAGAACGAGTGCTTGTAAAGACCCGTGTGCGCATTCACCGTCCTCATTCTACCACTTCTAACAATAACGGTGCCTATAATGTCAGCATTGAGCGGATGGTTTGTTTTCTTCAATATAGCCTGAGTCGTCCGCAAATTTTACCATTGGACAACTTGGAGATATAGACCTGAAATATGATGCATATACAGAAAAGGCGCCAATACCGTACCTTGTGGGGCCCCGTAGTGTACCCCGGTAGTATATTTAATATAGATAGAAGATGATTCGCGGAAAAATGTTATAAATAAACAGTGGCGGCTGCTGGAATTCGAAGTACTGTAGAAACCACCTCAGCACCATCACGTTTGGGGGCTGAGGTCCGAAATTTTGATGTTTTATGGCCGGAAATAGCACTGTAATTTTTCTCTTATCCCCAAAATTTTCTTTAAATTTTGTAAAAATTTAGGGCTACTCCAAGTTAATATTTAACTAATAAGATTATATAGATACAAGGTGTTTTGCCAGAAAAGTAACAGTGAACATTGGCGGATCTTGGAATTCGAAATAAAGGGGAGGGGGGATAAAGTTAACTTTACAGATACTGTAGGCAATCTATATCACCTCAGCCCCACCATGGTTGCGGCTGAGGTACAAAATGTTTATGTCTATGGCACTACTAGATCCCCGTTCCGCAAACTATTTAACCCACATCCCAAATTGAATGCCAAGCACTCAGACAAGACCCATCGGACACGAGGCCATGTCTGTCACATGAATTTCATGGTAGAATTGTAAATATTATATTATTATTTTGAGTTGAGTGATTAAGTCAATGAATCATGTCTGTCGTTTTTTTACGCGAAGAATAACCTATGTCTTCTTCATTCTTTTGTTACCAATTAAAAGATAACACTTCATTCATAAAAGGTTTTTCAAATCACCCAAAATATATTTAAATGCAATAAAGATGAAATCAACATACTTAAAATTACTCAAACAACAGAGCCACATAATTTATTAAATCTTTCAATAAATTACAGATCGGGAAAAAAAATGATTTAGGTTTAGCGTTTTACTACAAACAATTACTAAATTTGCGGACAAAAATATATGGGTTATTAGAAGAATAGTACAGTATATACATTTTAATTGACGAGAACATTTTAGTTATAATTTTCACTTGAAAGCGAAACACACTGAAATAAACAGAACTAAAACTGTCAAATTGTATTATCTGAAGTACAAATGCTTTCATATTCTATTATTGAAATGAAACTATTGACAACGCACGCATACAAAAGTACACTGACGCATATGCCACACTTTTATGCACGTTTCTTTACTGTAATTCGATTTGCTTTGTCTTTGTTAGTAATAAAAGTATAATGTTCACGATCCGAAGAGATGCGACCCATTTTTTCCGCAACCCAACATTGGGTCGCGACACATAGGTTGCAGAACGGTGTTCTAGATTTAATTTTATCATTTCCCTATTTTCTTTTAATGTTGTAATATTTAGAGCCCCAATTAAAAACATCATTATACTGGTAAAAGCAATATAAAACACAAAAACAAGATGTTTATTACTTGAGGATTGCCACTATTGAGTGGCTCTCTTTAAACACTGAACCTAATCTTTAAATATATTTAGATAAAACAAAAGGAAAAACAAAAATACAACAGATTCTAACAGATCGGAAATAACATATTTCGATTAAAATATAATGCCAGTTAAAACAATTTACGGTAAACGAAGTTTGTGCCTATGTCAAAGGTATTTCATTATACAAGGAGGACACTTTTTTATATTTAACATGTTCTATAAAGTTCTTGTAAATGGTTTGAATAAATTAGTTGTGGAATTGTATGTTTAATACATTATGTTATGCTGACGATTTACTATTACCAGTTTTTCGTCCACTGAAAAAAAAACGAATTGATTACACCAACACTTATATACTATCCTATGGTTTACGCTTCAATCGCATCAAGACATTTTGCAATATTTGGCAAACCATGGAGGTTCCATTGGCAAACAAACTTTAACACCAATGCCGGTGTGGGCTTTAAATAATCCAAACCTGAAAATCTCTGTGACCTACATCGGGATCACACTAAATTGCAAACTAAAATTGAAATCATAAATCCTAGAAAAAAAAATCCTTACAAAGTATCGCAAGTGTGAACAGGGCTCTTGTACTGAGGTGAAACTTCTTATTTGGAACAATGTACTGGTTTCTATACTTGTGTATGATTGTCAATGTCTTATGTATAAAATTCAAAGTAAGTTAAGGGTCCGCTGATTAATCTCAGATAAGAAAGTATAATACATACTCCAAGTATTGAAATGCCGTATGACACTTTTGGGTATCGACAAGTCAACATCCATCGAACAATAAAACATCTTTATTGATTACTTACAAAATATTAAAGATATAATTCTCACCATTTTGGAATGACTGAATAAAGTATCAATATTATAACGGCATTCAGCAAGATAATACACTTCAGCCAACGGCTTACGAGTTTGTTTACCATTTCTTTCCACAGGAACCACAAAGATGAAATGGCCTATATTCTCTCTAAACTGCAAACTACTTGAATTTCAAAATAAAGAATAGGACAATTCGCTGTATATGTTTCAGTATCAAACATAACATCCATATCATCAGCAACCTACGGAGTTTATCCAATATCTTTGGAGCAAGTATGCTTAATCAAATACCGGCTACTGGTCGCTCTCTCTATTTGTAGCTTATATCATAATCATGATATAATAATTCGAATCGCAGACACGATGTGAGTTTAGTTATATGAAAATCTGTAGATTGTAGGCCCATTAAAATTCAAACGTCCGATCATGATTCTAGGTAGCGACTATAATGAAAGCTGATGGATTAAACTTGTGCGATCGTCATCTAATGGATTGGTTTGACTCATGCGTAGTTGAACGTACACAGACTAATGAATGGTTGATTTAGTTCGAAATTTGAATTGGTAAATTTGTATTGTGTTTCGTTCATTTGGATGCATAGAACAATCGATCCATCCACATAAACAAAATACACTTTAATTCTTATATGTGGTTTTATATTTCTGATGTTTAATTTTTAACTTTGATGCACAGGAAAAAAAATCTAACGTGAAATTGGAGAAAGTATATAAGAAGTTTCTTGGAACTTAAATTTTTCTGTTCGCATTTTACTTGGTGATGTCGTTATGAGGAAGTCGATTTTTGGCATATGTTATACTGTACATTAAATCTCCAAACGATAAATATAGTATAATACCTCAAACACACAGGTGTGACTCGACTACATTTTCACCATAACACAGCTTCCAAATTTTGGTCTGAGTTAAGAATCCATTATTCCATGGTCTGAAAAACATCCGGCCTGCGTTTATTTAGCTAAATAATTGTCCACTGTTATGACATCAGTGTGCAAACTCTGCTTTATGATTGAATATTTCTAGTGTTGGCAGTGCAAACACATTACGTATCGACAACACTGAACTGAATAAACTGTTTTCAGATAAACATCATAGTCCGGTGAAGCGTATCATATTCATCGTCAACAAAGAAATCACCACTGGTCAAGCTAACGTTCGATAATGTTGTTTAGAAAGGGACAGGCTTGATGAACCTAACAAAGCTGTACTAATATTGCAAGGACATTAACTGTTCAAATAAAAGTCCATGGATGATGAGCCTTTCATTTGTGACCCAAGACCACAAAAAGGCTGTAAACTTGCATCACCAGGTTTCGAGAAAAAGGGCCAAATATACAGTATAACATGTAATTTGAGCAAAATGTGACTATGTTATAAATATAAAGTGTTACCTTTAATCTTACTACTTTTGAAGTTTGGGTTCAATATTTCAACTCTAAACCCTAAAATTTAGTAATTTTATGAAGGCCATTCTACGATAAACGTATAGTCCTATAAATTCACCAACTTTCAAGCCGCCATGCTACGCTTCCACGTCACCGATGATGTAATGGTGACCGGTGCGTTCTGCGATGTTGCGCAGCAGAAAGTCCATCTGCGCCCCCTCCTCCTGGACCTGAGGGTTGGTGAAGGAGGTCGTCGAATACGTGAGAAAAATCGTAGCCTCCTTTATCCCTATTCATGGTGCTGTTATTGTGTTTTATCTTTAGCTTCTCTAATCTTTCTTTTGTTGTTTTTCATTTTCCATGTCCAAAAACTTGGTATTTATCCAGTCCGGGCTGTGATTTAACCGGACCATATGGTCCGTGATGGCCGATTTGTGTATAATATCAGAGGCTGAGGCACGTGTAGCTTTAGCGCGTACTTCAACTGAGGTGTTGGTACGGACATCGGTTTTGTTTTCGTCTAATCTGACCATGCTTGTCTCCCCTATATGTTTAGCGTCACAGACTAATAACAGGCTATTGTTCCACCTAGTCTAATGTCCGTTCAAATTGAATCGGGCACGGAAAATCGTAGAAAAGAAGCAAAAACAACTCCTTGGAGAGAGAATTAGAACGATCACGAGAGATATAAAATGTGTGGAGGAAGATTACAACTTACTTGATGAGAAAGTATCTAGTATGCACGTATGAAAGCTAGAAATTAGGGTTTTTTTTACATATTTTGGGTTCCTGAAATTGTTTTCACAGAGTTCCATTGTTTTCGGTCATCTTATGGCCAATAGCAATGTCGTACGTGCGCATCAAACATAGGGATCTTTGCGGGGATTTGTTCCGATATACAGTGAAAATATGCTAAAGTAAGGCCTATTTTTAATCAATTATAGCTCCTTAGGATGAAAGGTGACCCCAATTTTTATTACATATTGTGAAAGCACATAAGTTGTAAATATGATTTTATAGATTATAATGGCTGATCAGACATTGTGACGTCATCATATTGCCATTTGAATTCAACAAACTGAATTTTATCAATAACGTCATTTTTGAAAATGCGCATTTGAGCGTATCTTGCTTATCCTTTTTCGATGGTCTTCCAACTTGGAGATGTTATAGCTGAGACAATTATCTTTCAAATATGCGACTTCTTTTTACTTTTTGATGACGTCACCATGGTCAAAGCATGTTTTTTCTGACCCCCTCATCTTTCTTTCCTCAAAACGTTGATGAGCGATATCATTATAACCAATCGTCATTTCTAAATCATATTAGGTGAGCATAAACTTTAGGTCAAGGTTGAATGTTATGTACCTTATTTTTCCGTTCGCGATTTTTAGCGTGCACGTTCGCGTGCGTCAACATTTATATATACATAAAACCATGAATATTTTTAATCAGTTATAGCTCCTTAGGATGAAAGGTGACCCCCAATTTTTATTACTTATTCTGAAAGCACATGAGTTGTAGATACGATTTTATAGATCATAATGGCTTATAGGACATTATGACGTCATCATATTGCCATTTAAATTAAGAAAAAAACAGATTTTTTTTTATGACGACATTATTTTTATACTCGCTTATCTTGATTGATTTTCTCCCACCTGTGAGTATGTTATAGCTAAATTCAACATGGTCAAAAAGAATGATTTTTTTTTAGCACTTCTATCTCTCATTTCGAAAAGATGTAAAAATGGAATACAAGGGGGCGGCAGACTGTATTTAGACGCTATCAGACTTATACATATAGGTTATATGAAGGGAAAATTCGTGTGGCATTACCAACTAACAGACGGTTTTAAAAACACTTGATAATGTTTATTTTGGGTGCCATTATTTTACACGTACACATCGTGACGTGTGCGTGTGTTAAAATTTGAAAAATCTCAATATCACTATTCATATCGTTTAAAGAACTTTTCGGGTCATTTTCAGCATTCTAAAACTTTCCATATTTAAGCGCCATACGTTCATTTCCACGCACACAGCACGTACTGAAGCTGGAAATCACGTTTTGTTACATATTTTGTGTTCCTGACGCTGTATTCATATCAGGAGCCCCTCTTTAGGCCATTACCGTGCTCACGGGCGTCAAGACGTACGTGTACGCATGTGTAAATCTTATAAAATGCTCATAATTATTCTCTTTAAAAAAAACTAATTGCAGCATATTTTAGCATATTATGAAACTTTATCAGCACCGCGCGCGCTTTATGAGGGTCAAAGTACGGCGGATCACCAAACTCGTCCTCAGTGACGAGTTCAAATCTAGTGTTATTAAATTCTTCTTTTACTACTGGTTATGTACCTGCCCATTTAAAATTGACAAAAGGTGTTCCTATATTAAAAAAAAAAAGGAGACACAAATTGTGTCATAGATATATATCACTTTCATCCGTCTTTTCTGAAATTATAGAAAAAATAATGCATTCTAGACTTAAATAGTTATCTTACAATTAACAATACTTAAACAGATTACAGTAGTGGCTTCAGAAAACTTGATTTAATGAACACGATTCATGTTTTTTGAAAATAATGAGTACAGGTTAAGTATTTTTTTTTACTTACCCAAGGCTTATATTACTTTCTAAACTTTCGTATTATATCAGAGGTGTTCCTTAACAATTGTGTAAAAGCTAATGTTGATTGCCGTAAGCAATTTTATTCAATTAAATCCATGTAAGTCACCTGCGAGAAGTATAGCTTCCGGGGTGAAACAGGGGTCAGTTTTAGGACCCTCTTATTTTTTTTTAATTTATAAAAATGATTTATCTAATGTTTGTGACACCCTTAAATTTATCTATTCGCAGATGACACTACTTTATTGTAATCCAATAACTTCATTGATATTCTATTTGATACGTTTAATAAGATAATTAATTAAGATAATTTTTTTTCCGCAACATACATTAATAAATCTTTAAAACTCGCTTATGCTACCTTATTTACAGTAACTGCAATACTATTTGGACAGCTGTTTATCGAACTAATCTTGATAAATTAATCAAATTACAAAAGCGTATTGCCCTCATTATAGCATTAAACCCTTTTGACTTCCCTTCTGAGCCTTTGTTTAAGAAATTCAATATTCGAAAGATTTACGATCTTCATAATATATTCAAATTTATTTATTTATGTTTAAATACGTTAATGGATTATTACCATTAGTAATGTCAAGCATTACATGCTTCCAGATATCTCTAAATATAGAATTTAAAGAATCCTTCTAAAATAAATGTACCATTGCAAGATTAACTCAAACAATTATTTATTCTGTGTAACAGGTACATAACTTTGGAATGAGTTGGATCAAATAAGTATTAATTGTAATAAATATAATTTCTTTTAGAAATCGTATGAAAAAATGTATCTATAAATTATAATGACTAGGTTTGCCTATTTACATCTTTTTCTTCCTTGTGTTGAATAAGGCGCTAAGATATACGATCTTCATAATATATTCAAATTGTTTTATTTATGTTTAAATACGTTAATAAATTATTACCATTAGTAATGTCAAGCATTACATGCTTCCAGATATCTCTAAATATAGAATTTAAAGAATGCTTCTAAAATAAATGTAATCCTAATAAAATAAATTGCAAGATTAACTCAAACAATTATTTTTTTTATGTGTAACAGGTACATAATTTTAGAATGAGTTGGATCAAATAAGTATTAATTGTAATAAATATAATTTCTTTTAGAATTCGTATGAAAAAATGTATCTATAAATTATAATGACTAGGTTTGCATATTTACATATAATAATCTTTTTCTTCCTTGTGTTGAATAAGGCGCTAAGATAATTTAACCTTTTATAATTTATTTAATTTTATTCTAATATTCTTTTTAAATATTTTTCTAGGTCAAGTTGAGACAAGTTTGTTTGCATTACTTCTAGACATTAGTCCAGCAAACTTCGGTTAGTTGCATTTTTTTTTGCTATATTTTTTACAAATTGGATATGATGTAGAGTAGACATAGATAAACCAAAAAGTATGTGCAACATATTTTTTCATACGTAAGGGGGTTGCCAGTAGTTTCAAAATTGCCGCCAATCTTTCCAAAAATTATCACTAATATTGTAAATTTATGTCATTAAAATGCAGTATTCAATTGGAAATCCACTCATAACAATGACAAGTTACAGTTAACTAAATATTGTACACATTTTTGAGCTATTGCAATTTAAAATGGCTGCCATTTTCCATTGTTTTAACTTTTTAGCATACATATTAATATAATAATAACCGACCTATACAAAAACGTGTAATAGAGCTAGTTATATGCAATTGCTATATGTTATTATGATTATTACCATAATA